TCCCCTCATTACTGAGAAAGTATTTCTATAGGACAGTACCTAGCCAATATCTTGTTTTTCTTGCTTCCTTTACATACTTGATGGGAGTGCCTTTAACTTCTGGACTGATAAACTAACATTAAGGAGAATCTAATAGCATGTTAGAATAAGAAGGAACTTTATTATCTCATCCAACCCTTGCATTTGAGGAAAATGTCTTTTCTTGCAAGTGGCTGGATTTCTGGTCTTGGCTTCCTTTGTTTGGACCCTGGCTGGTGGCCATGACCTTTGCAGTAGCTCCTTAGATGGACTCAGGTGGCTGGTAACTTTGCCCCTGGCTCATTCATGGGAGGGAACTGGGTTATGCATAACCAGAGCCTGTTTTCCTGTTTTTCCTCAGAATTAGCCCTATGTTCTGCAAAGACACAGGGCTATGATTTGTATTTGCCTTCCTTTCCCACCCCTCTGCAATGCAATCCAGGTTCCTGCTGGCTCTTGTGCTCTCCTTTGCCCTCCCACAGCTCTGTGGGAGGGTTTGTCTCCCAGCCAGAGTGAGGAGCTTCTAGAGTGTTCCAGGATAAGGGAGAAGGCCCAGTCTTTCCAGCTGGAGAGCAAGCAGGAGCCAAACTGACTGGAGGCCTGACAGGCTGAGTTGATAATAATGCTGGGTCTCTGAGGTAGCACAGCCATAAGACACTGGCCAAACCACCCTAGGGAAGGAGGCAGCTCCACCATTTCAGAGGAGATGGAGGCACGTAATGCATGTGAGGCAAAGAGACGCACACTGAGAATCACGCATACACATGCACACTCATATATAAGCACACAAGAATAAAATAGAAAGGGAAATTGAGGCCCAGAGGGAAAGAAGCAACAAGTAGCTTGTCCTCATGTGGGCTTCTCCCATAAGCCACTCTCTATTTTCAGGCCTTCATCCTGTTAGCTAGCTGACAAAGCAGAGCTACCTAAAATACCTATCCCAAGCCAGTTGGCTTAGACTCTCTAATGATTGAGATAAGTCCTTCCTTAGCTATGTTACTATGATAAGCAGAACATCATTTTTAAGCTCATAAGGCCATCAGATCCCTCCATCAGCTTCTGCACACGTGGAAGGAAGGTGCACAAGGCGTGGGGTAACTCCACACCATTCCCGGCAAAAAGAGAGGAGGAGCAATGAGTTCTTGCCAAACATCCTGGACATTTGTGTTCTGGTTTATAATAATGTTTATTTTTCTGAGTATAAAGTTACTATACGTTTAAGATATAAAATTTGGAATAAATACACACACACAGAGTTATATATATATATATATAGTAGTCCCCTTACCCAAGATATTAGGTTACCTTGTATACAATTACCATTTTTATAGGTCACAATAGTTGAATATCAGCAATTTCATAGGTTCAATATTGGTGATTTTCTTCCAAACTTTTTTTCTTGAAAATGTATTTTTGAAATCATAATGCATATTGAATTTTATGTCTACCTTTTTTTTCCCCATAACATTATTATGTAATCATTTCCCCATGCAATTAAAAACTTTCTCTAAACAGTATTTTTAATAGTTACATAACAGTCCATCATTTGGGAGCATCAAGGGCATTTCCGCAGTTTCAGATTGAGCCATTCTAGATCTGTGTCCCATGGCCCAGGGAAAGAAAGAGCCTTGTTTCTGGCACCCGCTTGGCTGGAGAAGGGGCTGGGATCAGCTCCCTGCAGAGCTGGGGAGAGCTCTGGTGAAAGGCGGCCGGAAGGCAGCTGGCCCTTGTCTCTCCTCAGGACATGTGCTGAGTGCAGACAGAGGATGGGGAATGGAAAAGTTTGCCCCTGAAAGGCTGGCCAGAGTGGAGAAAAGGACATGCTCAGTGCCAGGGACTATAATAAGGTTCTAGAGGGGAATCCAACCCCAGCAAGAGCCTTCTCTTGTCCAGAAAGGTCTATTTCAAGTGCTCAGATATTCCAGCAGCTGACTCATCTCATCTCTGTGGTACCTGGACTTGGTTAGCCCAAAAAGCCCACTTTCTTCCCAAAGTACTCTCTCTGCCTTGGGCTCTCTCATGATCAGCTCTAGGATAAGACCAAGCCTTTCTTGGGTCACTGGGGGAGGCAGAGACTGCCACCCTTTACCATGCTTCCCAGGGTTTGTTAGTGGAAATGAGAAGATGAAAGGGAGGGAGGGGGAAGTGGAAAAGGGATCCTATCTGGCTCTGACACTGGCTATTAGAACATAGGAAAGCCACATAGTCTCTTTGAGCCTCAGCTTTCTCATCTGTGAAATGGGAAGAGTATTGTTGTGAGATTCCAATAAGGTATTGGAACAGGTATTGAAAGTACCTGTTGCAGTACTGGCACATGGTGAGCCCTCCACCACTTAGTACTGATGTTTTATTATCTCATCACTCCCATATATCTCCTTGTAAATATCCTGAGTGTAGGAAGGGACTGACTAGCAAAAATGTTGATGAAAATAATTAGCATTTATTGAGGATTTACTATTCATTCATTCATTCATTCAATAAGTATTTGTTGAAGGCCTACTATGTGTTAAGAATTATTGTTCTAAGCTCTAGAAATAGTTTGGTGGTTCAAGCTCACCAGCCACTCCTTGGAAGGAAGGTTAGGCAATCTACTTCCATAGTGATACTGGCTTGGAAACCCAAGGAGGGGTCTCTATGAGCTTCTGCTCTCATGAAGTATTACATGGGGAGGCATGACAACAAATACAGGGAAAAAGACAAATAACAATGAATAGAAAATAAATATGGAGTATGTCAAGTGGAGATATGGGCTATGAGGAAAAATATAGCAGGACAAAGGGATGCACAGAGAGAGTATGGGGGAGATAGTCAGTGGAGACTATTTTAATAAGACATGTGTTCCAGCCACTATTTGAGCATTAAACACTCAGTTTAATAAAACATTGTTGGACATGATGAGTACATTTCCAAGCACCAGGAAAGGTTTTCTTAGTTTACAGTTTGGAACTGAGAGCTGGAAAGTGGGGTTGGGTCCAGAGGCCTACAGAGCCAGGACTCCTGACTCCTCTTCTGCACTCTCCACTGTTCTATGTTCCACACAGTTGTCAGCTGTAGAGATGGCATATAGGTGTTGACAGGGAGTTTCTATACCTCAAGGCATGAACAATACATATTCACTTAATCTCTTTGGGGTGGAGATGGAATCAGGAATCACTTCAATTCAGCAGGTACTGCCTGTTCTAAGGCATTATTTGTTGTTGTTGTTGTTATTTGCCATCGAGTCAGACTCGACTCATAGCGACCCCTCCTTGGGTTTCCAAGGCAGTATCACTATGGAAATAGATTGTCCAACCTTCCTTTCGAGGAGTGGCTGGTGGGTTTGAACCGCCAGCCTTCTAGTTAACAGTCAAGTGCCTTAGGCACTATGCAATCAGAATTCCTAAGGCATTAGCCTACTTAGCTTACTGCCTTTCATAAAGCAGGGTGGCCACCAGAGCTGTCTCTTTCTGGGGAGCAGGGGCTTAGAGGAAACCTGGGGTCTATGGCAAGTGATAAGTACAGCCACACCTCCCCTGAAGGACCAACAGGCTAGAGAATTTCTTGTTGAGGCCTTGCCTCTACTTGTAGGTGACTCTGAATCCCTCTGAACAGTGTTCTTTAAGCTGGGCACAGGGCTTGTGACCATGGTTACTCAGACAATACATAGATGTTATGTGTGTCACATGGGGCACCTGGGATGAGATCATACACATCTCTACGTCTGGTGTGTGCATAGGCACAAACTTGAAGAAGAATGGACATTTGGCCTCTCTAGTCATGTTCTTTTTCTTGGTGACTCTTGCCCTGCCATGGAGCCCATGGGGTTCAGTTCTGTCTCTTAGCTTACTCCTGGGGATTGGCTCCAGTCAGGAAAGATGTAGTTATTAGGGTCCTCCCCAGTAAGACTGTTTCCCTGTTGGCTGTCCACTTGGGCCCAGATTTTCATGGTGAAAGGCCTCTGCCCTCAACCCTGTGACTGCAGACTCCTTCTACCATGTGGCTTCCTGGCCTGGGGACCTGCTCACCTATAGCACCTTCTTTAGCTGGGGACCCAGGCTTCTATCCTCTGTGAAGGGAAGAACTGAGCCTGTGAAGCATCTTTACGTTCCAGGTGTCAGTCCTGGAAGGCCTTAGAGATGACCTATAAGTCACTAGAATATCAACTTCCTGAGGGCAGGGCCTTTGTTTTGTTCACTATTGTATCTTTTGAGGCCAGAAGAGTGTCTGACATATAGTTACTGCTCAATGCACATTTATTGAATGAGTGACTTTATTCTAACCCCCACTCAATTTACAGAGAAGAAAACTGAACCCAGAGAATAGGATCATAGCCAAGACTAGAATCACAGATTTCTTCACTCCTCTTGCCCATCTTAGGTGGTCCCTTCCCCGATCCTCAGAAATGCTGTGTTCTTTAGACTGCCAAGATTAAACGAGATAGGATATAAAACTGTCTAGCCCATGCCTAGCACAGAGTAGGTGATAAACATTACTGTTCTCTTCCTTTCTTCTGTTTGTCCTTAATACTCTACTTCTATTCCTCCTCAAGGTGATGTCATGTACCAAAATTGTATTTTTTCCACCACTTCATCTTTCTCCCCAAATCACACCATCCATTTACTTAGCTAGTTATTAGGAGGAACACAAATGGATTCAATCAGAAGATGACCACTAGACTTGTTCTAAGAGTTTAATTGTCCCTAAGGCACTTGACTGCTAACCAGAAGGCTGGTGGTTCAAACCCACCAGCCACTCCTTGGAAGGAAGGTTAGGCAATCTACTTCCATAGTGATACCGTCTTGGAAACCCAAGGAGGGGTTGCTATGAGTTGGGTCTGACTCGATGGCACATAACAACAACACAACAACAATGTGTATTAATGAAATCAGTGGATTGCCAAAGTTAGCATTTTCACTGAGGGAATGTTCTGGGCTCTCAGGATACAAGGGGAGAATCCCATCAAGACTGTGCCTCTGAGTCTGTCTTGCCCTTCTCTTCCACAGTGGCAGATGAAATGCTGCAAGTGTGACTCCAGGCTGCCTCACAATTACAACAGTCACCGAGTGGAGAATGTAGCAGCATCCTCAGGCCCCATGCGCTGGTGGCAGTCACAGAATGGTGAGGGCCTGCCACCTACAGGGGCCCAAACTTTTTTGACAGCTTCCATAGGGTGGCGATGGAAGGAGTGTGCCCAGGAACCTTTGGCCTTCCTGGCAATTTGTTATGTCTGGGGGAGCTCTGATAGCCTAGTGCCTGAGGCATTTGACTGCTAACCAGCAGGCTGGCTGTTCAAACCCACCAGCCACTCCTCAGAAGGAAGGTTGGGTAATCTACTTTTGTAGTAATACAGCCTTGGAAACCCAAGGAAGGGTCGCTATGAGTCAGATCTGACTCCATGGCAGTTGGTTTGGTTTTCTGGTTTGGTGGGACAAAAGTGTTGACAAGCAGCTCTGTATTTGGATTTGTTGGATGGCATTGGTAGAAGGGTTTATTAGAGGTTAAAGAAAGAGTGTGAGAAGGGCAGAATGACTTTATTTCATGACTTAATTGCAACGAGCTTGCTGAAGAAATTGAGCTTGGGGGACAGGACAGTGTTGAATAGACAAATTGAAACTCCTCAAGGTATTAGGGGTATCAAGTAATGGTAGGAAGGAAATTTGACCAAGAACAATGAAATAGATTACATAAATAGAAACATACTGGTATCATTCTTGTCTAGGAGGGAAATAAGAGAGTCAAGGTTAGAGAGTTTCTGACCTCCGGTTATGCTAGTACAGCCTACAACCTTGATGAGGGCTGGAAAAGTAGAAAATCTCTGGTCTAAAGTTACTATATTTTGTCCTTCCAGATGTGAACCATGTATCTCTGCAACTGGACTTGGACAAGAAATTCCAGATTCAGGACATCATGATGGAGTTTAAGGTGTGCTTCCTGGGAGGGCAGTGGGTAGGAGCAGGGACTTGGGCCCATATGAGCTTAACCCCTGGAAGAGCACAGTGTCCTTGTCTCCCCAGGCTAAGTGTGATGGCATGACATATTGGGTAGAATGCCTTCCCCAGGCTGGCATTGCACTCACCCTGAGCCTATATCATGATGACAGCAGAGACCCCACTGTGGGGAGAACAGTGTCACCTCCAGGGTCCCTGTGTGGTTGTACAGTGGCTGTGTATCCTCTTCCTGCACCCCCTACCCTCACTCCATCTAAATTATGCGGCTCTGCCAAGTATCAATTTTACTTGACCTGGTTGCTTATTATGCACTCCCTGGGCGGCATAAACAGTTAATACTTGGCTGCTAGATCTCCTAAGGTAGGAGATCTGAGTCTGCCAAGAAGCACCTCAGAAAAAAGTCCTGGCAATCTTCTTCAGAAAAATCATCCATTGAAAACCCTATGGAACACAATTCTACTCTGACACACATGGGGTTACCATAAGTTGAGTCAGAATCAACTTGACAGCAACTTGTTTGTTTTGGTTGCTTCTTATACATTTATGAATTGCTGGTAGACTGCATTTTTATAACTTTGCAGATAGTCACTTGTCCAAAGGAGATCTGATGTGTCACAACTTGAGAGCTGAAATGGATCTTGTAGATTTCTAGTTTAACAAACAGCCTTGAAATTGCCCATCTACCTTAAAAGATATGCTTTCGGAGCAGCCTTCTTGGTGGGCAATGTACTCATTCTGTGCTGTTACTTTCCAGAGTTCTTTGTTGTTGTTGTTGTTATGTGTCGTTGAGTTGGACTCAACTCATAGCGAGCCCTCCTTGGGTTGCCGAGGCAGTATCACTAAGATTGCCCAACCTTCCTTCTGAGGAGTGGCTGGTGGGTTTGAACAGCCAGACTTTTGGTTAGCAGCCAAGTGCCTTAGGCACTATGCTACCAGAGCTCCTTCAAAGTTCTTTAGGAGTCCACTCTTAGAGTAGCTTTCTGGTATACGCCTTTGACATTTGGCTGCTAGCCAGAAGGTCAGCAGTTCAAACCTACTAGCTGCTCCATGGGAGGAAGATGAGGCAATCTACATCCATAAAGACTTACAGCCTTGGAAACCCAATGGGGACCAGAATGAATTAGAGTTGACTCAGTGTCAGTAGGTTTTTTTTTTTTTTGGATACTCCTTTTGGAGGAAAAAATTCCACTCATTTGTGGCAGAACATATCCCTTTTCCCTATTCCCCTACCAGAGATTTGCTTTAATTATTTTTACAGAAATGGTCAACTATTCAAGCATCAACTTAGGTTAATAAGATTAGATGATCAGGAAGGCTCATGTAATTTTAAAGAGTTAAAATGAGGTATGAGTAAAGAGTAATAGGACCTATTTTCTTACATGACTGAGGAAGTTGGCTCTAAGAGGTTTGTCCCAAGAAAAGGTCAAATTATTTTGACAAATGCCCGTGTCATTTGAATACATGCCCAGCCTCTGAAAGTGAGAACTTTGAAGGGCAACATTCATTTGGATGGTTGCTGTTAAATAGTTTCACTGCTGTTTTACCATTCACCCATTCATTTGTCCATTCATACTACATATAGAACCCTCATTATATGTTAGGTTTGGTGTCCGATGTTAGGGATACAAAGATTAATAAAACTAAATTATGATCCTCAAGTTGTTTTATATATAGGGAAGAAAGACCAAGAAACAATAGCAAGAGAGTATGATGAGGGCTCTGGAATTGAAAAAAAGAGATGCCAGGGATATGGGTGGTGGCATCTATGTTGGTTTGTCTTGGGGGGGATCAGAAAATGCACCCGGGGTAAGATGAACCCTCATAGACCAGGAGAGAGGTGAAGGACAAAACTCGTTTCAGGCAAAGAGAACAGTAAGTCCAAAGGCCAGGGAGATGAGGCAGTAAGGTGTATAATTGGGGAAAGTGTATACTTGGAGTGGGGGATGCACATAGGGTCTGGAGGGTAAGACATGTGTACGGTGGTGTTGGAGGGCAGATAGTAGAGGGCTGCAAACTAGTGAGGAATATAAATTGTGGCAGCAGGAGGGAGCAGACTAAAGATTCATCCATTCAATCAACAAATATGCACTAAGCACCTTCTATATGCCAGATGCTGGGCTGGGAATACAACTATGAATAAGACAGATGGGAGAGGGGTTTCAGTCTAGACCAGTGGTTCCCAGCAGAGAGTGATTTTTTTCCCCAAGAGAACACTTGGCAACTTCTGAAGACATTTTTTAAAGAAACCTGGTGGTACAATGGTTAAGTGCGTGGCTGCTAATTAAAAGGTCAGCAGTTCCACTAGCTGTTCCCTAGAAGAAAGATGTGGCAATCTGCTTCCATACAGATTGCAGCCTTGGAAAGCCTATGAGGTAGTTCGACTCTGTCCTGTAGGGTCACTATAAGTTGGAATTGACTTGACGGCAATGGTTTTGGTTTGGAGACATTTTTGGTTTTCACAGCTGTGAGGGTGCTATTGATATCTAGTGGGTATAATCTAGGGAGGCTCCACAATGCACAGAATAGGTCTCCACAATAAAAAATTATCTGGCTCAAAATGCCAATTGTGAGAAACCCTAGTCTAATGCGAGAGAAGAATACAAAGCAGGAAACCAACAAATAATTGAAACTCGTGGTTACTTTTATGAAGGAAAGAAACAAGTTGCTACAATAAGAAATAATGATGTAAGGTGTGCAGGGAATGAATAGAAAAATGCACTTTAGATAGGTATAAAAAATCTTGATACAGAAGTGACATTTAAGCTGAGAACAAGAGATAGGAAGGAACTTACCAAGGCAAGGAACATTACAGGCATAAGAAATGACATGCACAGTGGCTCTGAAGAGGGCTGAGCGTGGTGTGATTGAGAGATCACTCATGGCTGCCAGTAGAGTTGGAGGCACATGGTGTCATTGGATGAAGTGAGGAGGCAGGCCAGGCTCCTTCAGCCACCGTTAGGAGTTTGGATTTCATTCAAGAATACTGGGTGTTTTTTTTTTTTTAACTTTTTATTGTAATTTGAATGAAGAGTTCACAGAGCAAATTGGTTTTCCAGTCAACAATTTGTACACATTTTGTCTCATGATATTGATTGTAATCCCCCAACGTAATATTACTCTTCCGGCTTCCTCCCTGTTTCCTGTTGCAATTTGTCCTTCTTTGCTATTCATTCCTGCTTCTGATCTTTATTCCTAAGTATGCTTGATCTTTTGATCTTGTATGGCTGTTTACTCTAAGGAGTTCATGACCGTCTAGTGTCATTTTTCACTTGGTCGGCGTATCTATCTCTTGGCTGAAAGTTGAGCCAATGAGTGAGTTAAGTTCCAGATTTGAAGGGTGACTAAATGCCACAATCTCAGGGGTTCCACTAGTCTGTATCAGACCAGTACACTTGGTTTTTTTACAATTACAAATTTTTTTCCCACATTTTTCCCACTCTATCCAGGACCTTCTATTGTGATTCTTTTCTAAGAGATCTAGAGTGGTAACCAGGCATCATCTAAATCTTCTGGTCTCAGTGTCAAGAAGCCTGGAGTTCATGTGGACCATTAGTTCTTTGGACTGTTTGTTTCCACAGGTCTTTAATTTTCTTCACTCTTTTTTGCTTCAGACAGAGAGACCAATGCTTGCAATTTAGATGGCCATTTGCTAGCTTTTAAGACCCTAGTCACTACTCACCACAGTAGGATGTAGAAGATTGTTTTTGTAAACTATATTGTGCCAGTTGAGTTAGCTGTCCCCAAGACTTTGGTCTTAAGCCTGCAAGCTCAGTGATTGTTACCTCAAGTTTTGGTTATGGCAAAAAGTTTTCAAAACTTCGCTCTCTGAACGTTCTTACTACATACGTGGATATATTTATAGCACATAAAAATACGTACCTAGAAATATCTTCTGCCAAACCTGTTGCTTGTGGATATAGTCCCGTTTGCCTATCCATACCTATTCAGCTTGTCAGGCAGCCTATATATCCACTCATAGATCATTGTTATAACTGATATTGCATGATTATGTATGTAATAGTATTTCCCTTCGTTACCTGTAACTCTTTTTTTTTTTTTTTTTAATTGTGATTTGGGTGAAGATTTGCAGACCAAATTCACTTTGCATACAGCAGTTCACATATACTTTGTCTCATGTCATTGACCACAGTTTACCACAGTACAACAGCTCCCCTCCCACTTCCTCCCCATAGTTACCTCTTCCCAGTGTCCATCTCTCCATACACTCCTGCCCTGTTCTCTCCAAGGAGTGTATCTACTTG